CTTCAGTTTCACAGATGAGCAATTGAGGCCATATTTTCCATTACCAAGGTTAGAATTGAATTTATTTATTAAACTTCTATTGATTGATCGATTATTTTATTTGCCTTGAATTCACAGTACAACCGATCAATAACCTTTAGCTTTTGGCAGAATTGGTCTGATGTAATAAATTTGATGAGCACTATTTACAGCCATACACTCTGTTAGTACTGTAGTAGTGGAAAAGGAGTGTAGACATTAGCTGGGCTGAAGCCAAGGGCATGGCAGAAGAGAGGGTTGTCTGGAGAGTCAGACTTGCAGAGATAACTAACTAGCGAACTAACAGACAGTGTACTAGTACTGTAGCACATGTAGCTATTTGTACTGATTGTTCTAGAAAGTGACTGGGCTCTCTGACTGTAAAGAAGGGCAGGTAGTTATTGCAAAAGTAGACAAACCTACTGATAAGAGAAGAAGAAACTTGTTTACAAAATACTATTAAGTGATTGCTGCTTTCTTTATACTTTGTAGAGTTCTTGATGGACTTTTTAAACTGTCATCTGAATTGTTTGGTATAACCATTAAGGTTTGTTTGAAAACCTCTTTTAACTTAAAAGTTGTTGTTGTGATTGTTAATGTTGATGTCGTAGATATATTATGGCTTTACACTAGAGCTTGTAAGTATAATCTAAGTGCACTTGGAACCTACTTTGAGTGTGACGGGATAAAATGTACCTACTCGAACTTTACTTAGTGACCATGGAAACGTTCGTAGATCAAAGAAGCCGACGTGCGCCGCCAAGTATGGTCTACACCACACTTGAGAACACACTTGACCAATAGGAAATGGAAGCCGACTGAAAGCGATGTGCAGCATTGCTACAATTCTGATGAACGGACTGATAGACGACTTCCTTAGATTTCATTTTTATAGACAACCTAAACCATCGCTTTTCATATCATCCGACACCAAATGCTCTTCTGCAAATTACAAAGCAGTCATTTCAAGTTTCAACCAGGTCATTTCTTTGCACCCGAACAACTCTGTTGAACATTGGACGAGTCACGGAAATGCATTTTCTCGGTAAGCTAAAGCTCTATGTACAGCAATTAATTTGCTGAAAACCGCGTTGTTGCGCCATTCTACAGAAATACAGAAGATGTCGTTTGTTCCTTTGTGCTGCTGCTATTGCTCTGTTGCTCTTTAGCAACAGCAACTATATGCATTTCGATTTTGCTGTCGAACAATCGCATTAATGATATGTATGACCATAGTTAACTATGGTATGACTGATTTTACTGCGCAAATCCTTCAAGTGATATACTTTGTCATCAGGTGTGAAGCCAAGCTTTCTAAAGTGCCACTTGAGATTTTCAAGTGCGCTTGAGTGAAGTGCTTACTTGAAACTGACTTAGCNATAACGGATAAAGATTCGATCTGTTGTACTATCTGGTATCAATGCGCCACAACTGAAGTCGATCTGCGTCACGTGATGTCTATCTAAAGTGCCACTTGAGATTTTCAAGTGCGCTTGAGTGAAGTGCTTACTTGAAACTGACTTAGCCTCTAGTGTGAAGCCAAGCACTCAAGCAGGTGCACGAAAAAAACAATCGTGATTTTGCTATGCAACTTTTCCCGCGCTTGACGGCAGTTAATTACGTTTTCCCGCGATTAGTCCCGTCGCTTCATGTTTTTCGCGCTCTCAGTCCTGGCTACACGTTTTCGCGCATTTTTCTCGTTAGATGTTTTCCCGCGCTCAGTGCCGGTTACATATTTTTCCGCGCTCAGTCTCGGTTACAAGTTTCCCTGTGTCGCTTCCCGGCTCGTGGTCTGGATTACCTGTTTATGATGAATAGCAGTTGAAAACTGCATAGGCTTTGGTAGCAATACCGTCATATCCCAAGAGTCTGTGGTTTTGTGGGCGCTAACTTTCTATAATTTTAGCCAGCAGATGGCGAAGCAGACGTGTGGCACCCAGATGTAAGATTTTTTAACATCATGGATGAAAATGGTACATGAAGAAAAACTACAAAATGATTTCTCATTTGTATTTTTAGTGCAGTGGCCTTATGGTCGGTGCGCTCAACTCCAGATTGAGCGGTTTGGGTTCGAGCCCATTGTGTTGTGTTCTTGGGCAAAACTCTTTACTCTCACTTTACTCGCACAGTGCCTCTCTTAACCCAGGTGTACCGGCAAATTTAATGCTGGGGGGTAACCCTGCGATGGACTAGCATCCCATCCAGGGGGCAGTAGAAATACTCCTAGTCGCTTCATGCT